CTTCACTTCAGAACAGGGTATCAAAAATTGGCTCGATTCATTCTTGGCTTCAAAAGATGAACGCTTCTTCCGCGACGGAATCCATAAATTGCCAGAAAGATGGGAAAAAGTAGTGGCTAGCGATGGACAATACTTTCAATAATGTATTAATTCATTTTATCATTCAAATAAATGCGTTTTTCAAGCAAAAAACGGACCGAATAAAGTTGTACACCCATACTACTAGCATCAAAGTGACCCAGTACCGATTTATAGTAAACGTTACTGGCATAGTACTAAATGCCAGTACGGGCTTAGTATTGGTGTGATACTGGAATGATAGAAAAGGGCCTGTATCGGAAGACAGTACAGTCACAGTACCTGAAATCAGTACTGTACTAGTATGAAAAAAGTATTGATTCCTAGCACTGGAGAAGTACCTATTCCTAGTACTGGGCCAGTATCGATTCCTAGTAATTTTTATTATTTGTGCAATTATTAATATTACAATTATATAATATGGAAAGAAAGATCAAACTATAGCCGGGGCTGCTCTCGTACTTATACAAGTGTATTTTTAATAGTTATATAAGGAAAAAATCTTTGGGGCGACAGCTGGAATCGACAGTTGGAATCGACGAACTCGAGTCTTCCGCTTGTCAGACAAGTGTTCTTACCACTGGGCTATCTAGGTTTCGCGTTAGGGACCTCTTCCGTTTTCCCATAAGGGGCATTGGTATCATCCGTTTTTCGGTACAGGAACAATACTGACCCAATATCATCTATTTGCAGATTGTATACGATTTTTACTTGGGTATCCAGTACTGATTCTACGAACAGGGCCAGTACCAATAATACAGCTTTTTTATATTAAGCCCAGTACTGAGCCAGTACTAAAACCGGACATCCGCTTTTCAGTATCGACCCAGTATTGGGCCATTTTTCCTTATTGGCGAAACGAATACAATTTCTACTTGGGTAGCTTTGATATTAATGATTTTTTTGAAATTTACGTGATTTATAAAATTCGAATTGTTATTTGCGTCAAATACAGTAACTTGCCTTCCCAGATAGAACAAAAAATCAATTACATGACTAAAAAATTCACTTTTCAGTCATGATTCAATTATTTTCTAATTTTGATGTTATTTTGATGTTACCGTAATTTTATATTCTGATTATGTTATACTACAATAAATTGTTCTAAAATAGTGTAATGTTATTACACAAAACTGTGTTTAGAAGACTCACGCGATAAATATTGAGGCTCAACGAAGTTACGCCCAATACTATCATGAGGAAGAACGTTCCCTCAAATTTGGTTATTAGAAACTTGCAATACCTAAAGCAATGAAAGTCATTATGTTATGCATTGTACACGTATGTTTGAATATATACTAACTCCATAGCTTTGCGATGAATGTCCACGGCATAAATAATCCCTTTAGAAACTATGATTTCTTTTTTCGGATTGATATTGGTTTGATTTTCCTGATCAATATTTATCGCTTGCTGGATACGATAACTATAAATAATTTTTATGCTATAAACATTATATATAGACACTGTTACCTTATCCAACATCACTAAAGATGACTAACAGCGATTTTACTTTCAATTCAAGTTCACATAAGGTAAAAATAATGTCTGGGCACTAATAATCTTAGTATCCAACTTTGGACATTTTATTACTTTCTTATTGTCTTAAAATATCAGCATTTAAATCCTCAATATAGAAATAGCGAAGAGAGAAAGAAAATATATATTATATTCTACGTTGAATGTTCAAATATTCGTATTGAAAGTCGAAAATAATAAAAATATTCATAATTAGATATCAATGTCATTAGTGTCAAAATATTATAGTACTTTTACATTGCATTACTACATTTATTGTCTTACCAAGCGATACTAAACATTCCGCAGCTATATTGGAGATATCCTATGAGCATACTACCGGTTGCTACCGTTACGATCAGCTCTATACAAATGAGTACATTCGTGTGCAGCAAAATTAAACATATATCTTTTTTTCGATTGGCAAAATCGGTTATCCACATCAGGGCACGATGTGATTGAGACTCGTTCACAAGCAAAGAACCTTCAACATTCTGGCCCAAAATTGACTCGGTGATAATAATAAATATCAAGAACATTATAAGCGCTAAGGATTTAAAGAGACATGTAATGAATGTATGAACATGTAAAATTAATTTTATTGTATAAATTTTATAATAACTTTTTTGTAACGCGCGTGCGTGTTCGAATGCGAGAGCGATGGCTCTTATAGACCATTAATTTTATTTGTTAATACTTATGATTATATATTTTGTTACTATTTACATAAAAACATGTTATATTATTGTAAACGTATTAGTCATTTGGATTTGCTCACGACTGTAGCTTACGTTGAAAGAAAAATTATATTCAAATCATCAAATATTTTTTTGATGGGTGTTATTAACATATTAACTTAAATCTAGATTCTCTTTATTTAAATCAAATATTACCTACTTTAAATAAACAATATTTGGTTTAAATAAAGAGAATGTAAATTTAAGTAAATATGTTAATGGCACCTATCTAGGAGATATTTATTGATTTTAAAATCATTTTCTCTCAGTGTTTTCATTTTATAACCTGTGATAAAAGACAACAACAAATATCTTACATGTAAGAACAACTGTATAACGTTGTATAATACGTCCATAACTTTCTATGATAGCGATCTCATTGTCATCTTTTAGCTCGTTACACATATACATCAGATAGTCCAATAACCATTTCACCTGTCATGTCATAAATTCTAATACAACACTCTCAAAAACGTAAGACGTCTTCGAGACATGCGTGTTGTGTGGTAATTCATAATGTTTTCATACACTTATAATAATGATATTTATACGTAGATATTTATATATAACGTGATTTACATATAGGTTTATAAATAGAGTCCCACACGTAGAATATTGCAAGAAATAAAATTATACGGAAAATTAGAAAGTAGCAATTAGAATAATACTTGAAGAATTTGGATACGAGAATACAATTACGCACATGACTATGCAATATAGCTTCGCGACTTCGTTATATATTAAAACACATGAAAGCGCAGCTTACAGTGTTCATGTTGATCCAAAACGACATATATTGGATTCCTCCTATAATATGACATAATGTAAGAGAGAAAACGTTAACCATAAAATTAAATGTCAACTTTTCAGTCACAAGAATTCGAAGCTGCAAACAATAACTTTATTAAAAGTTAATAAGCAACAAATATTTCATCAGTTACAATGTTATATTAACAAAAATATCAGACGGTTACACTTAAAGTTATGCTAAAGATACGCTTAAATTACGAAACTTGATTGAAGAAAAATAATTGCGCACGAAGAAAACATTAAAGATGGCCGTTACAAAATATTAATGTTATTTTTCGCACATACATATAAGATGGTTGTAGCAAACATAGTGCTTTGTAACTGATACGTTGGTTTTCTTTACTGTCTATTTGAGCAGTACTCTCATTGCTGTTTAACATAACCGAATTCTACAGATATTTCAACCATAGTATTCGTTCTGCAAACCACAACAAAGAGATAGCAATATTTTTTCGGTTCGAAACAATTATACATGAGGTTGTACTAACTCAGCATTACGTATCACAAGAACTGTGGTTTGCGAGAACTGTATAGGTGGGCATATAACAACAGCAACTTTTGGTGCAATATCTATTTAATTTGAAAGTACATAAATTTTCTCCCTAATTATAGAATGTGTGTGTAACAATCATAGCAGTTTTCTCCGTGCGTCAAAATTAAATTTCATGTCTTAATATTCAAACATTTGTAT